AGGAGTGCAGATAGGTACAGCAGGCCCCTCCACCTCAGGCCAAAGGGCTGTTGTCATTGAGGTGTCCGGCAGCTCGCAGCAGGGCCGTGCACTAATTTGCAGGCCGGCTCAGGCTTCGGGCTGGTGTTGTGCCTCTCGGTTCTGTTCAGATGAAAGGACCGGTCTGTGCGAAGAGCAGGACTTTTTAAGCTGGAGGGCATTTCTTACAAGGGGGAAGGTGGTTGGCCTGTGGCCCAGGACTGAGGTGCTGGGCCACAGCTGCCCTGCACTGGGTGGACATATGCTGAGACCAGGCATCACACTTTGTGTTGCAGAGTTCATTTTAAATGAAGAAAAGAGTGAGTTCTGTCCATCAGTCTACACCAATATCCCACAGTGACAAAGTGAAAACAGGTTCTTTGATACCGCTTCAAAAACCTTTTGCTGTGGCTGCATCCTGATCACTTCTACACAGACACCGTGGCTTCGTGCACGTCTGGTTTTTTACAGCTGCTTGCATGTTCACAATAGTCATACAGGTATGTTTGTGTTTATTTAGTTTGGTTCAGCTTTGTCGTCTCTCCTAAACAATGGTGCTGTGTGAAAGTGTAAGTACATTCAGAGCCACACTTACATAAAGCTGATTCCAAAAAGAGGATTTCTGGGGCTGATGGATTAGACTGACCTAGATTTAGGTAGGTGTTCCTAATAAACTGACAACTCAAAGTGGAATATGTTCATAGTATAAAATACAAGAAGCTGAAACAGAGGTGGAAATGTGGAGTGAAGATCTCCAGCTCTGACCAAGTGACTATTGTTGGGAGACTGTGGGAAGTGTAGTTGTGTGGATCAGAGAATGGTACGGATGTGTTTACACTGAGTTGGATCGGTCTGGTTTTCACGGACACGGTCACCATGTTCTCTCCAGCTCACACCCAAGGAATTAAAGTTTTCATTTGAGGCATTTTACTATCGCTGAGTGAGAGCTCTGATGGAATTTAAGGTTTTTTTGCCACTGAAAATCTTAATTTGTTTTTGTGAGCCTTGCAGTCGGACTTCCTGCTTTAAACCGTTCTGCATAGCAGATAAACCAGAGTCGGCGTCTTTAATCACTGACTGGAAATGTCAGCAGCTCTGCCCCGAGGTCGGAGGCATCTGGAGTTGTCATTGGATCTTTTCTCAGATAACCTATAAAACCCAATCAAGCTCAGGGAGAAGGCCACGAGGATAACGCAATTACCTGGATAGCTCAGCAATCAATCAATCAAACTTCATTTATACAGCACCTTTCATACAGGTTAATGCAATTCAGGGTGGTTTTCACATGACTGACAGGCTGATAACAAGCCAGAACAGAGACACACTGAGACCAGTGCACACAAGAAGTGAAAAGAAGATGAAATGTCCTATATGTAAAACCAATGACCCAGATTCAGGTGAAATGGAAACCAGCACATGAGAGAGCAGACAATAAGATAAAAAGGAATAAACCATCTAAAGGCTGCAGCCAGGATGTCGCTGTGTGTTACTGTGCACCAACCCTGTCCACAGACCAGCAGCACCAGTGGACGTGGGGTCCTCTCCGTGATGTGTGTGAGTCCAGACCTGGGCTGTGTGCGTCCACCCCCGAGCAGTGGAGCAGTGTTATTAGTCTGCTGGTGAAGTCGCTGCTTTCACTGCAGTGAGGGCCGACGTGTTGGAAGACTGTGGGACTGATTCTCCTAAGATAAGGTGCAGACTCTGAATAGATAAATCAACAAACAGACCTGTGACCGAGAACACGTGTGTGCCCTGGTGCTGCAGCCTTGTGTGTCTGTGTGGTTCATGACAGCACTTTTAAATTTGATCAACAAATAAATTCAGTTGTCAAATCGAATTCCTTTCACCTGAGAGTTGTGATGTGGGCCAAGCCTTTTCTCTCCCTTACTGACAGTGAGAAGGTGATTCAGCCTTTACTCGTCCCGGCTTCATTGCTGCAGTGTCTTCGCTCTGTGCTCCGCAGCTGCTCCCACAGTTCCACTACACCGCCGGCTTCTGGTTCGCTGCACAACTGATCTGAAGGTGTTTAAGTCACTGTGCGGGTCAGCGCCATGCTCCTCTCAGAGGCTCCCAGGTCTAGACTGATGCTCAGAGGGGGCGCTGCTGTCACAATAGTGGCTCCACCACAGTTTAGTGTCCACTGTCAGGCTGTGCCGGCGCTGGTGAAGCTAGAAACGCATTTGTCCTTGTTAAACCTTTTAAACCTGCTTCACTTTTCTTCCTCTTTGTGACTTTTCTCTCTTGTCGATCTGTTTCTTTTCATATTGAACACAACGTTGACCACCGTCTTTAAATAAACTGACTTGTAAATTGCTCACTGTGAGAGCTGTGGACTTGTACAGGGATGCTGTTTCAGAAAAGGTTGGTTGCCATGCTGGTAGCGCTGGCCAGTCGGTCCACCGCTCTGTGTGCCAATGGAAATATCTCCACAGCTGTCACATGGAGGTTATTTTGTGCAGTCGTTGTCTCCAGAGGGTTAGCCTGTCTCCCTTTGGTGGTGAAATGTCTACTGCATGAATTGTCCCCCACAGGATGTCTGGTTTCAACTGGGGTGATTCACTGACTTCTCACTTTTCACACAGTTTTATGGCCAGAAACCTGCCAAGCTGATGGCGTCCCCATCGGCCTCAGCTTAAATGTTAGCATGCTAACATGCTCCACTAAGGTGGTGAACATGCTATCTAAATTACACTGTGCATGTTTAGTTGAAAGGCCCACTGTGCACAGAGTCTGCTGCCATGGCGTGAGCTCTGGGTCCAGCCCAGATGCCATGTGCCACCGATCACATCCCCTTCAGCTCCACTGCACAGATGTGAAGGCACAAACCTCAAAGATGGACTTCTCAGATCCTTTAAAGTGCCGTTTCCACACACTTTACAACGCAGTGCAACAGGGAACCCAAGTGAAAACAGCCAGCGCTCCCTCCTGTCACAGCCTCTGACTGTATGTGCACTGTTTTCCTCACAGTCCTGTGGCTGGCATCTGATCTGCTGTGATTAGCAGCTGATGTTTGGGAGGCTCTTCGCTGTCAGAGGAGGGATTCAGCTCATCCTCAGTCGACACAAATGTCATTTATCCATCTGTGTGTGCTTCCACTCAGTCACTCTGCCTTTTATTTCCTCTCTGCTACCCGCAGAGGAAATATTAGACAAATTTGAATCTAATTCTCTTTAAATTTGTACTGGATCGAATCACAAATTGGTTTTATGTTTCTGGTTGTAATCGACCCATGATGCCTCAGATGTCTCCCACAGTACGCTCATTTCAGAGGTTCCATCTGGTTGTGCATCAAGTGAATACTGAGAGCTCCATATATCTGTCAGGCAACGTGCACTCCATTTTTCAGCGTCTCTCATGTTTCAGACTCGCTCACTGCTGTAATAGAGAGTACGCTCCAGTTCCCACTCCCTCTGCTCGTCGACCCAAACAGGATGATTCACTTTCAGTGCATTTCAATACAGTGAATAGCTTTGTAACGTTCACCTGCATGTTGTGTGTCGGCTGTACTGTTCATTTCAAACTCTTCCTTCAAATGTTATCGCTCCATTCAGTGGCTTTTATCGGGAGCATAGCTGTAGTAGGTCAGATCTCTGTTACCATGGTTACAATAATAAACATGGATCATACCACATATAGGCACAGAACTACTCACCGAGATAGAAAACGATTGTGGTTTAGGTTCAAACAACTTACTAACTTAACAACACTGCCTGTCATCCTAAAGTATCTGTCTATTAGTAGGAAACAGGAAGCTGCCTGCTGCTCTGTGTGGACCGTCCACCCTCCATCACCACATTAAGACGCTCACTGCCTCATTCTAACATGTATGAATGACAGGAACCTCTCTGATCATGATGTGCATTTCTAGATTTCTAAGAATTTTTATCTTCCTAATGCACATTCCTTTTTCTTGGTGGGTCAGTCTCATCTTCTTTACCTGTGCCTCACTGCACTACATGCACACTGGGGGCCGCCGTACACCCCCGGTAGTGTCCATTCAATGGGGTGACATCAGCACCATCAGTCTGAGGTTTGACTACAGCTCTCTTAATGATGTCTTCCTGTCTAGGCCTGTCCACCCAGTGTTACATAACGGGTAGAAGCCACTTCCCTTCCCTTTTTCTTTTGCAGATTTCATGCTACATTTAGATGGAAACGCACCGCAGGGGCGTTCACATCACATGTTCATCTAAAGCCCGTGATGTCAACGCTGCTGCTGTTTGGAAACGTGGACCAACAGCATCTTACATTCAACATGATGAAAGGCAGAGACGTGGGGTGAATGCACCGACGTGGCCCTTTAAGTCTGCAGCGTGCACATACTGCAGGCTGTCAAGAAACAGGGAGGCCTCTGTCCCTGGGGGTGTTGCCTGTTCGTGAGGGCGTGTGCATGTCGACGTCACCTCAGTCCTTAGTGTCAACGCCAAAATAAAACGAGTAAAAACTTTTCTACTGGTCTCCACTGGAAACACGTGGCACGGCGGGAGCGGGGCCGTGTCGG